TATCGAGGCCTCTCTGGAGGCCTGACATTGGGGTTCAACTGGTCTTACTGTTTCAGATACCCGCCGCCAAGATTTATCTGTGTTTCACCAAGTATGAGAAATATACGGACACAGGGGCTTCCGCCTGTTCCCCCCAAAAGCCATCAAGCCGCCTCCATTAATGTCAGTGCACTCGTAAATTGTTTGCTTGCACCAAAGTAGGCAACTCCTGCCACTGCACAGAAGCTCCCAGAGGTGTCCCATGCCTCCTGTAAATCCACGGGCATCCAATAAAGTAGATTCACTGCAGATGGACTTAATCAGTTGCCTCCCCTCCTTTGGAATTAGAGGGGATCACACTTTTAAAAGCAGAGTTCTCACAAGCGAGGAGGAACAAGGGTTGTTTTTATTAATGGCTATCAGATCTGGATAGTTGATTCCACTCAAAGGGAACACAGGTTGCAGAACCGTGGGCTGCGCTGGCCTTGTCGACATCCTGTTCCTCTGCTATTTAATCCTTAGCACACACTCTCTGCTCTCCCCCTCATGCACAAACAATCCTCTTGTTTATGATAACTTATTTTCCCTCTGTGCAAAAGAAACCTGGTGGGTTATTTGTTCTGGTACTCCTCCGGTAAGCCAGTGATGCATTTGCATTCCATTCCCCTCCAGCCCTGGTGATGTGTGCCAAAATTAGTCAATAGACAACAACACAGTGGAAGCTTTAAGAACATGTCAGAGAAGGCTTGAACGTTACCCATTAATGTTTACAGCTCCTAATTATGTTAATTAATCACTCCTAGAGGTTGCCTCACCCCGGAGCCCAAAGGCAGGAGTTTAGTTCTCACAGATACGCACTCAGATTTGGATGGCAGGATGGCTGCTTGCAACAAGGAGCTCAGCAAGGATGAGCTGCCACATTATTTATGTGGGGTGGACAGGTTCAGCTGCCTGAGCGATGTGCTGTCGTGGCTGCCTTGCTCCTGTTGGATCATGAAGGTTGCTTTGGCTGTCTACGCAAAGAACAGCTAAGCAATCTGGGTGCAGGCTCAACCATGGCCGAAAAGATTGATGTTGTATTCAAGCTGTTGCTGAAGAATGGCCTTTTGGCAGTGGAGAAGAGAGCACTTTGTACTGGCACTAATTATTACAGAGCAGAGATTACTGCCTTTGCAAAATCTGAAGTTGTTACTTCTGTCAGAAAACAGATGTTACTGATGGAAAAAACAGGTGTCTCTTCTATCTCTTGCTTGAAGGATTTGTTAACGATAGGTCTTGTCCCAACGTGAAATATGCTGTAAATTGTATTGAATTGAAATTCTGTATTAGTTGATGTAGAGACAACAAAAATATCACCTTCCTGCAGGAGAGATTTTGGCTGCTTTTTTTTTGGGGGGGGGGGGGCATTTTTTTGGCTTTTCCTGAGACTTCTCTCGTTTGCAGCAGGCCTGACGTAAGAACTACTCAGAAGTTTTAGTAATAAGCCAAAATTTAGCAAATGGGCCCGCTTACTGTAGCACTGATGTCTCTGTAGTTCTGCAAGTAGACAAAGCATAGGAACAGAAGAGAGCAGCCAAGCCCCTGCCATTCTTTTTCAGAAATTCATCTTCCCAGTTCAGAGCTTGTCTTCACTCTCTGAGCAAATGGAGAGAGCTGAGAGGAGACAATGCATGCTAGATGGCGAGTGATTCAAAAGCAGCTTCAGCATGTTTCCTGACATTCTCTAAAGAACTCACTTTGGGCAGGCTTTTGGTACGGTTTAGTGGGGAAACATCCATGGTAGGTAGACAGTTGGGCTGGGTGATCTTGGAGGTCTTGTCCAACTTTGGTAGGTGGACAACTAGATTGGGTGATCTTGGAAGTCTTGTCCAACCTTGGTAGGTGGACAGTTGGGCTGGGTGATCTTGGAGATTTTGTCCAACCTTCATGATTCTGTGGTAGGTTTCCCCGGGAGAAATGCCTTTGCATAGGTGGCAGAGAAGGAGGAAATGCATTTCCAAGAGTAGCAGGGCATAATAATGGCAGAAGACTGTGATTAAGGGTCTGGTGATATCTCTGGTTGGTTGTGTTCCAAGGATTTCCAGACTGGAGCTTGCTCTTTGAAAGAACTGTCTGCCTTTGTGGCTCATTACACAAAACCTAGTTATGTGAAGCAATTTTCCAATACAGCTGCTTGTGAACTGCTGCCATATTGTGTTGGGACTGCGTTCTGTACTCCTTGGTTACTTGGAAAGCACTGCTAGCAGGCCAAGGCCGTGCACGTACCATAAGGCAGATAGGACTGATGGATGCAACATCAGCTCCTGCAACCCAGAGCTGAGAGCGCGTGGCGGTGAGGCCAGTGCTTGGCACAGCCGAGGTGTGATCTGTCTCTGTCCTGTTGGCAGGACCTCAGCACTGATGAATTGCCAGGCAACTTTCACACACGTCAGGATTGACTTCACGAGGAGCAGCGCGTGCAGGGTGTGAAATGCGATACGAGCAGGTCCTGACACAAATACTTTCCTCATTATGCGGGGTTTCAGAGCAAAACCTTTCTCTCCATTCATCTTCCTCCTGTCTCCCCATTGCTCACCCCTGCTGCCCGGGGAGTCCCGTGAACGGACCCGTTGGCAGCACATTCAGCTCAACAAAACAGCCTTGTGAAAAAGGGAAATATAACACGATCGCTTCCTATTTCTTTCTCCTTTCCTCCGCATCAAAGGGCCGGGCTGGCTGTCAGGAATGTTCAAAATGAATAAATAAAGCACAGGAACCCCCTGCTTCAGACGGAGTCTCATTCAGTCACCGTGAAGCCCGGCCAATTCCTTTGCTGACAGTGCTCGAGTCAGCAGGCAGAGCAAGAAGATCATTCAAAGCTAATCAGTAAAGTGTAAACCTATTAAGAAAGCGCATTTACCCCTCGCCTCCTCCTCCCTCTAGAAAACCAATCCCCAGATCTGTGGGAATGACACGCCACGTACATAAAAGTTGCTATTACTCAGATCCCCTGTTATTAGGTCAGTGATGCCACTGATGAAATGCTCCCCAGAGCCCCGAGCAGGGGCACATAAATCCCGCAAGAAATTCACGACGTAATTTGTTACAGCTAGAGGGCATAAGATGCATTACAGCAAAGCCTGCGTGTTGGGCTCTCCCCTGTGATTCTCGAGGCTATCTCTGGTAATAAAAACCTCATCTTGATTTCTGATCCTTCATATTGATTTCTGTCAAAGGCTTTTCTTTGGAGAAAGACGCTACGGCATTTTTTTTCCATGTAATCAGGGGATCCTTCTGTGCTCTTCCCTCCGCCCCCTGTTTTTAATATAGAGATGAATCCAAGAAAGATTCGTTACCTGGGGACTGTGGTTAGATGCAGTGGAGAAGACAGTGAGGGCAGGTTTTGCATTTGCAGTGCAACACCCTGAATGTGAAATTAGAGAGAAATGTTTCTGGTCTGCAATACTGCAGGAAATTGAAACTAAAGCCCCAGCTATGCAATTGCTGTATTTTTAATATAACCCCCTGTTATTAATATAACGAGTAGAGTCTGTGGGAGTCCTTTGATTAAAATCCAGGCTCAGAGGTGTCTAATCACAGCAACTATTAATTTTTGGAGTATTTGCACTCCGTCTTGGGTTGTGAAATGGCCGACTCTGCTCCTTTTCCCTGGTGCAAAGCAAGTGGTAAATATTTATAGCAGTCATCCTTACAAGAGGAGAAACTTTATATGTGCTCGTTGCTTTTGTAACTTGATAGCAGTTGTGCTGAAAGACAACACCTGCTAATTGTATTTCCCATCACATCCTTTTCCTCTTGAAGGATAAAATATGGGAGTTTGGGTTTATTTTTCTAGCACATACAGCAAAATTCACTCAAAAGAATCTTTGTTCCCTTTTAGCTATCTGTTTATTTAATAGACTACGGAAAATGTTAAGCTCTGTCAAAAAGCCTCATTAAAGAATAATTTATAAGCTACATTTAGATGTTCATCTTGTACACTAGCTTAATGGAGAGCCAAAATACATCCTGGCAGGTAATAATTAATGTAAACCTTGACACTTCAGATCTGTTCTGCCATTCACTGGGCCAGGCAGGAGCAAGTCACAGCCAGTCCTGCTAGTTCTGCAGTGTCTCTGGCATTCACCATGCTGAAAGCTTGGCTGTGTGTGACACGCGTGCTTCCCATGTGCTGATCTTTTACCTATTTTGGATGCAAGCAAACGTGTCTGCTGGGAGAACTATTTTGATCACCTAAATGGAGGCCTCCCATGAAGAGGAGCTTCATAGCAGGCAGTTTTCTGACTTCTCCCTGTGCCAGAAAGTCCTCATCACTCAGCCAGATTCAAATGAACTGAAATATTGGGCGATGTCCAGCCTTTGCTGAAGCTGATGGCAGCTCTCCCACTGGCTTCAATAGGGGCAGGATTCTATCTGCCATGTTGTTAAGTCATCAGAGTGGATTTTATCAGTGAGATCTGTCTAGTCTTGGCTGAAAAATGCCTTACTGATTTTTAGAGAAGATGAGGGACAGCTCATTTAAAAGCAGAGTAACAGGGATTATGATCAAACATGCCATGCTGACTGCCACAGGTCTGTCACCCTCCCTGTGCCTTCAGAGATGACCCCACATGTGAGCACACTGCATAATTGCCATAATTGGATACACAGCTTCTCTTCAACTCTGCTCCATTAAAATGATCTGATTTGGGTTAATTTTTACAAGCAGATTGCTTTGGGTGGGTGGAGGAGCAGTTCTGACCGTGGTCATAATGCAGGACTGAAGGGGAGTTGTTTTCTCAGCCTTGCCCAGTTGCAGTAGAACAACTTGCCTGTCTAAAGGCTTGTGTACAAGCAGCACTGTCACTCATTAACTCTGCATGCCTGTGTATCTTAATCCCATTTAATAGGATCACTTGCTCTGGAAAAGCATACCCATAAAGCTATCCAAGAGCAGTTAATGTGGTGCTTATATTTAAACACCAGCTTTAATCTTTGTTAATTTTCAAGTCTAGATGAGATTCAGGACTACTGAACCTGACTAGATCAGACCAGACAACCTACAGCGTAGTTAAAGAACTCCTTTAATCATGTATTTATATGCTGGGATACTGACTATGTCTTCCTACAGTCTTGAAGCCTCATCTGAAGTTGAGCCCCTGGGTGCATCTGGGATATAAATTTAACAACAGGGTCCCATTTTGCCTGTAAGACTTACTGAATAAGAAGGATCAGCATGCAAACTCCATCTTACATCTTGGGAGTATTCCACAGGTACACCTATTTTTGATGAACAGCTCTTTCAGTCATTCCTCACTGCCTCCCTCCATCTAGCATTTGCTTCAGCTTCCTCCAAATGACTGTCTGGATTGGTTAGGCTCTCTGGCATCGTTTGCTGTTACTGTCTTAATAGGGAGGATTTTACTTTTAATATCTTTTAACTGTCTTTAAAGAGGTTTATCCTTGAACTTTGGGGCCCTGCTTCTCAATTTGCGCATACATAGTGACCCATTGGATGGTATAAATCCTAGAGAAAATTACTTGCATCGCAAAAACAGTCTATATTCCTTAGCACAAGGCCTTACAGTACTGCCCTATTAAAGCTGCCCATCTCCAACTTCAGCTAAAGTAAACTTCCTGAGAAACTGTAGGTGTCAGCACTCGGTGTAGAAAGGTGTAAGTATGTGCTTAACTCTGCTGAGACATGAAGTTTCACTGAGATCAGCAGCACTGCTAAATCAAGCTTCGTTTGGGGGAGCGTCTTTAAGGTCATGCCTCAATTAAAAAGGTCCTTCAGGTTGGCACAGGATGCTTGATAATGCTGACAGCAGGCACCTGGGCTGCAGCATACGTGATTTGCTATACAAAGAATTGTATTTGTGTCATGGCAGACTGCATTATCAGTGAAACCTTATGCATTCGGACATGTAAAAAGCCAGTGTGCCTGAACTGTATACATGCTTCGTATAGTTATGAAGCTAGACTGCATGAGGAGTTGCACACTGGTCTGGTTTCCCCACTTACGAGTCCTGCTGCTCAGGATCTCAGTTCTGCAGGCGCTGCTTGCAGCAGAACAAAGATCACTGCTGTAAAATGGATTTGTGCAGCCTGTAAGAATGCTACAACCATGCTCCCTGGAGCAAATGGTCTCCTTGAGGGCTGAGTGTTTATCTCTGCTCACCGACACTCGATGAAGCACTGGCCAATCTGATCCTGGAGGGTTTCCCTGATGTCGAGACCCTCTGTTTCTCGCAGCTGATCCTTGATGAATTTCTCCTCGTGTCTCCCCTGGACCTCACCTTGCAGGGCATCTTCTTGCTTGGTGTGCATCTGTGGGGTACTGTGAAGGGCCCTCAAGTGAGGAGGGAAGCTCTGAAAACGAGAGGAGAAAAGAAAAGGTGCGGTGAGAAGAAACTTAATACACACCAGAATGCCAGGTTGACAGTGATTCTGAGCTTAGGACTGAATTCATTTACGGGAAGGCAGGAAAAAGCCCTGCTCTCATAAGAAGTGCCTGGATGCACACAATGGCCTATTGTTAGTGTTTCAGCATTAATTAACAACGTTGCAATGTACAAAAACAACCCTTTCAGCTGTGGGATCCCGGTATCTCAATGAGACAGGTGAGAAAGCTGCTGTTCTGCAAATGCCAGCTTTATCCGTGTCAGAAGGGTGCCAGAGGTTTTTAATTGAGTTTTCAAATGTTTGGACTTCCCAGTGGTACTTTTTAATTAGCCGGTATTGTTTTTAATTTGTTCACTTAAAGTTTCATATGCTTGGTCATCGGTTTCCTGGTATTTTGTTGCAGCTGATAATATTCCTTTAGGAAATCAACTTCCTTTGAGGAACAAACAAACAACACAAAAAGAATAAACAGCCTCCCAAATGCTGCAATAAAAATCATGGCTCCCCAAGTTTCCCATGATTTGATAACCTTGGCAAGAAGGACTTCTAAACCAGCCTTACTATAATAATTTATGCTCCGTGATTGATTTTACATGTGTGCTTTAAGAGAGATAAAAATGAAAGTCTCTCTGGTATGCAAATACAGAAGCATGAAAAATACCATCTGTGTGGGTGGCCCGAAACTTTGCATTTTTCAGTTTGCAATGGTTGATAAAGTTTATGTGTTCCCAGTGTTTTATGAGCCATTCTCACCTTGGAAGGTAAAGAAAAGCGGATATTTTTTTAACAACGTAAATTAGCTTTGAGTTTTTCAGTAATTCCAGAACAAAATAATTCCCACTTACCCGGGACGGACTGATGTTATAAGACAGTGTGTGTGCCAAAGTGAAGAATGGGAAAGAGGAGAAAATGTGATAAGCTGTTCTTGTGATGCTGTGTTTTGTCCTCTTCAAAGGCTGTGGCTCACGTATAGGTGGCAGCAAATGTGAACAAAAGCCCACGTCTGCATTTCTGTCCTGGCTTCCCACCTCCAGAACGCGTCTTTAACTCAACAGATCTCAGACTGACTCAGTAACACTTTCTCCTCACTCTGACTCTGGAAATGTGTTTTCTACTGTGCTGCAAGTCCTAATTCCAGAGGACTCCCGCAAAGACAAGAAAGCTTCTATCAAAGGTTTGGCCAGCTTACAATTAAGATCGGTTATTCGGTGTTTTTCCATGCTTCAACCAGCTTCCAAAAATCACTAACGAGTGCCAAGCAAATTTGGTTTCAGAAAGTATACAGCGGGTTTGCACACCGTCCAAAGAAAGCGTTAGAGGCCCCGTTCAGGAAAGCAATTTACTGCCTTCCCTGCATCTGCAGTGTGTGGAAAAGGAATTGGTCAAGGCCATCACTGAGAAAATATTCAGACGGAAACAAGAAGAGCAGCATGCTTCAGAACGGCAGCTGCACTTGCTCTCTGTCTGAATATATGACCCGAAGATGTTTGCCTCTCACCCTGAGATGTTATCTTCACTCATTTGTCACTTTCTATAGCCATCAAGTGTTTCCAGTTCTTCCCTTTCAACAGCAACTCTTTGAAAGAACAGCACAGCTACTGTGAGCACTACTGATTTGTATTTTACTTGCAACGTTAAATGAACTTCTGAACAGCCAGCTCTAGCAAAGCGGACCCATAGGGCTTGCTTTCCAGGTTATAATTTAGAAGCAAGATTCACTTCCCTTCCATAGTTCCACACTCAACTTTTAGCTTCACTGGTGTAATGCTTAAGGAACTGTGCATTCCCAGCAGAGTGCTATGGCCCAGAGGTCCCAAAGAATGAAGAGATGAGCCAGCTAAAGCCAACACAGCTATTCCATGTCTTTCTACACTGCTATGGCACAGTCTGAACAGACACTGTGTTATGCTCAGACAACCTGCTGTTTTTTTCTAACTAGCTGCTCGCTGGGGAAAGTGGAGGGAAGGGCTGTTTATTTAGAAGTATGTTTTCCAGCATTTCCTGCTGAAGACGTGTGAGAAGAATGTGGATAAGGGAAAGAAATCTGGGAATGGAAGAAAGGGACTCAGTATTTCCATGAGCACAGGTAGCTGTGATGAATGCTGGAGGTGTGCTCGGTGATCCCATCCTGTCCTATCTCCTTTGGGAAGCTGGAAGAAACAGAACCAGTGATCAGGCTGAGGCAACTCAGTGCAAGAGGCACAAGGGTATCCTCAGCTTTAGGCTGTCTTGCAGGTGGTAGAGAAAGATGGGCTTCTCTGCATGAGTTATGTGACCTCTTAAGGGTGAATTTTCATGAGACGGTTCATTGCTTGAACAGCTGATTGGCCCTGAAAAGGGCCAGTTCCCCTTCCCCCCTGTCTGCTGGCTGTGTGGCCCTTGCCTTCTCCTTTTTGGGCTCTGGCACTCCGCTGACCTTGCAGTGAACCAGACCAGCTCTCTAAGAAATAGGAAATAATCTCCTTTATCTTTTCTCTCCCCCAGGTTAATTCTCTCTCATTATAATGAGGTGAATCAGTCAACCAAGGAGGCAGCTGAGAGCCAGAGTCATCGCAAGGGAAGCGGTGTGGGCAAGCATGGAACAATGTGCTGAGCAGGACAGTCGTGCAGCAGCACAGACAGGAGAGCATCTGTTTTCATCCACCTCTGAGCCTCTTCTTCACTCAGCTTCTCTTCTCAGCTGCTCTCCAGTCAGCCCAGAGGGAGCCTTTGATGGCTAGCTGCTCATCACTGCAAGTTTACTGCCCACGTGTCTTTCATCAGTGCCAATGTCAGATGAGGTAAGAACTATTTAAATTGGCAAGAACATGCCTGTGTGAGCAAGACCAGAAGCAGGGGATTCTTATCTCCCAGTAAACTAATACAGACCACACCTATGCTTGAGTCCAAAGTCACGAAGCTGATATGGACACAGTCCAGCTAACTCTAAACCAGCTGACTCAGATGCTGATGGCAACAGAGCTACAGCACATGCTCTAGTCTCCAAAATCCATGCAAGGCCTCTACCTTTCCAGAATGGCTTATGAAGAGATGCTCTGTTGTATTTGCCCTTGATCTTTTTCTTTTCCTTGTTTTGTTTTGCTATTATAAGGCAAACTAAACCACTTCTATCAATGAGAGTCCAGCTAACCATCTTCAATAACTCATTAAAGAACAGGAGGGTTGATATGGCCTCATTCTCATTCGACCGTTCTTTCTTCCAGTCCTATTCCTTCCCTGTTGTTAGTATTTTCTAAATTAGGGTATGCTCACTGCTCACTTATTTACATGGACAAAAAGGCTGCTGCTGATGTGAAATGCGCTGCTGCTTGATTGCTTCCATTGCTGGGAGAGTGGAATTTATCTAAGCTGGGTTCATGGGGAGGAGGCTATGGAAAGGAGCCAACAAGATAGTGAGAGATGGCAGGTACAAAAAGACACTTGATCTGAGTGGGAATCAGTTCTGGCAGGCAAGCTGTTGTGAGTAATGATAGAGAGAGATGTCCATAACAGACGGCACCCTTTGAAGGAGGCCTAGCGATGGACATCCAGTTTCCCAGTGGGGGTCCTCCGTTGGTGCAAAGCTCTGGAAATAGCATGCACTGAGTCAGATGGGTGAGGGAGAGCATGGAAAGAAGAGCAGATCTGGTCATGACAAATGAGTCCTGAAGGATTCATGGCGGTGTAATGGAGAACACATGCAGTGCACTGTGCTTCCGAGTGCAGAATGGGAGGCCTGCACATGTAAAGAACCAAGAGCTGGTTTCCTTTCTAGGGGAGGAGGAGGAAAGCACTGAACAGCTGTGAGGAAAGCATGCCACAGCTATCTGATTTTAAGGGCAGTTTTACAGGTGAACATTCAACTGGCCTGACTCTTCCTTCAGTTACTTTGAAATCAATGAGTTATGCCAACAAACTTGGTGTCTCTCTGGATCTTCCCAAGCAAACTCCAGCTGGTGGGGTATGAAAACGGACTGAAGAACTGACAGAAAACAGGGACAGGAAAAGAATCATTTTCATTTAGTAACAGGAGGAGAAAGGCGTTGACACATGAGGAAACATCAAAAGAACTTACATACATGTGGCCTAGGAAGTAAAATTGGTAATGTCTTAAAAACTGCTTCCTTGACTTGTAAGAACTGATCCAAGATTACATCAGGGTGTGGAAGACCAAGAAACTGAATCAGCGTTAGACTATTACCTACATTCTAACTAGAAGGTGAAATAGATAAAATGGGAGTGAATTGAATGATATCACCTAAAAATAGAGACTCCAGCTGCAGGAGCGGCTGAAGAGATGTAACAAGATGTCCAGATGATATCAGTTTTTAAATGATGTAATTGTACCATTGTTTTAGCTGTCAGTTCTCTGCCATCTGTTGTGCATTTGCAGCGCGTTTTCATAGAAAAGCTTTTTTTCTTTTGTCAGATAGACTCAAACCAAGGAAAGAAAACCAAGCCCATCCGGGAGCCTATGTATGAGGAAACACGGTTTCCATTTTCTTGCTTTGCAGTTAAAGAAAGAAAATGTGCTAAGCTTGCTTTCTTTTGACCACAGTTCTTGTGCTGATCACGAAAGTATACGTCACCCTAAACTCCTGACCAGTTGCGAGGAGGCAACAGCAAAAGGTGGGCACTGTGTTCTCTCATCTAGGAGCAGACTTCAGAAGGAAGTATATCTGAAAAACATTGGTCCATCCAATAATGGAAGAAATAGGTACTGAAAGGGCAGAAGCTGTGCCAAGACAGGTGGTCAGTGCAAAAGGATGGCTCCAAACAGCTCCATCAGGAGTGTTTTCCTGCTGACCAGTCTCTGACCTGTGCCTTGCAGCATTGCAGACCCACTCTCCATGCACCCATATACTTGATCTGGAATTCTGAAGTGTTGTAATGAGACAATTTGATGAGAGCAACTTTGCAGCTCTACTTAATGTGAACGTTAAGGAAGACAAAAGGCAATTTATTTCTAACATCGCTTCTCTCAGCGCCTCTAATGTTTCTGCTTCTGAATCAAAGGGAGGCATTCTATAGTAAGACACTAATAAATAGCTTTTCCTTGGGGGAAGAACTATTTTCCCATCTTTAAGAAATTTCTTTGGCCATGTGAAATTCAAATTTGTTAACTTGCCCCGCAAACAACGACTCATTTAGAAACAAATTACAAATATTAGATGGAGACAGTGAACTTGATAATGCAGTACTGCCACATCAGTTGTAGAATAATGCATCTTAATGAAGGCTTCCCATGTGAATAAACCATTATATTTACAAGCTTTTCACAGTTAATGACCCAGAACTGGATAACGAAACTCACATTTTTAGTGTGGTCCTCTGTCAGCAAAAGTATACATATTAATAATTGATGTTGCTGTGAAAATAGGGCATAATAGGAAGATTCTTGAGTTTCTGGGAAAATAGGACTGCATGGTCCATTAACTTAAAATGCTTATCTAATGCTTGATGGGCTTTGTCTTTAAAATCCTTGTTCAAATTAATAAGGCAAAATGGACGTTTGTTCTAAAAGAGAATTTCATTTCCAACTCATCAGTCACAAGTACACTGATGAGAGAGCTGTTTGATCTTCTGCTCTTTATTCCTTCTCCTCTACATAGAAGAGTGAAAGGACCAAAGTGAAAGGACCCACCAGCAGAGGGAAGGAGCAGTTCCAGGTAAGCCTATGTGATGAAAGCCTCTGTGCATACTCTCCTTCACACTTAGGAGCCCAATTGCAGAGATCATTCTTTCCTAGCTTGAAATGTCTGCCTTTCTGCTTAGTCAGCTCAACAACTTTTCCCAACACAGACTGCTTTATTGTTCATTATAAAACACTTAGAGGTGTGCAGGCTGGCTGAACATGCTTAAGGCTAGAGTTCCACATCTAGGAGGCCCCATACTGTGGAACTAACTGCTCTTCAATTGTTCCATTACAGCTGCACTTACAAGGAAAGATAGTCTTCGTTCCAGTGAAATAAATACATTTCATTCCATTTCACGTTTCAAGGCTAACACTCATACGATGCCTGAAAGGTGGATTTACTGCAGCTTTTATTACTGGGTACTTAATTTAGAATGGTTTCTTTTCTTAGATCTGAAGCGGCACAGCTGAAAGATGCACTGCGTGGTTTTAAGGGACTTTTTCACTCATTGTTTTGCTACAGACAGCATTGTCCAAGACTGTAATCCTTCAACAGATGTAGTGATTGAGTAGCATTTTGTTGCTTCAAACGTAGCAGAGTTTGTTTCTCCAGAGGGCTTTATTTTCCAAGCAAAGCAAGTATTTTTAATGGTCATTTATATTCATGAGCAGCAAAAGTGAGATTTTTTTACATTTGAACTACACAGACAAGAACTCCTTACTAGCAGATGAAAGGAATATTCTACCTAAGCAGCTGGGGTCTTGCTCTTTGCTAATTTATCCTGCTGAATTTTAAGCTGTGATCCAAAATCTCTGCGGAAGCTTAGTAGATGAGTTAGCTGTGCTCTTCCTTTCTTGTTTTCTTGTTTTGCCTGGCTGCAGGAAGGATGTGTTTCAAAGAGTTCTCTTGTCTGATGAAGATTGTGTTCATATAGGTTCCATGCTACACAAATGTGGTGATAGCCACATCAATTATATGGCTGAATTCCTAAATTAGGCGCAAAAGAGGAACAACTAAACAAAATGTATTGCATTCATTAAAGCTTCCCTACTATACGATTCACTTCAATGGCTTTCCCAATTAAAGTAATTGTCATATGCATTCAAACAGAGCATTTTGTAGTAAGAGGCCTTGTTAGAAAAATATTGAAAAAGGCTGCTTCGTAGATTTATGCAATCTATAAATAAATATTGACATGTGACAAGTTTCCATAAGCTCAAAGAGAACTGGAGGTGGAAAATGCCATCTATATTCATGGCCATATAGGTTTATGTAATTGCAGTTATGTTTGTTTAGATCATATACGTGGGCATGCTGTCAAACCTCTACTAAAACTGGCAAGTAGGTTTTGGACTCTGAAAGGCAGTGTGACTCCAGTCAATGAAAGCCTAATTATTCAGTGGGATTCTTGCTTTCCTGCACCGTTAGACAGACTAGTTATCACTCTTTAGATGTATCTGCGTGCCTGGCTAAATAACAGTGGCTTTTGCTGACATCTAAGCATCCTCTAGGCTGCAAGTATAACAGAAATCATTGCAATCTTAAGCCTGATAAAAACAGGCCTGGTGTGTAATGCTACCGTGTTTGCCCACTTCCAGGAACTGAAGAAATATTTCAAATGTTATGTATTTATGGAGCTTGCAGTTTGTCCAGTCCCATATAATATTTATTTAGCCATAGGCTTGAATGTTTACACTGAAGGCTATTCCAGGAAACACTGAGTTGTTTCTAACTGGGTGAAATGAATTATATTTATCAGGAATTCGAAGAACAAGCAACGTTTGGCAGGCTCTTTTCTCAGATATAAATAAAAGCATTAGCCAAGAAAACATGCCTAAATTAGGGTATGCTTAAAAGAGGTAAGCAGGAGAAAACAGTTATTTAAGACCACATTTGTCCACTCATATATGAAGGATACAGAAGGAGGAAGAGCAGTGGAAATGTTTTGTGAGAAAGCACAGATAAGCAAACGTTGTGCCACTAACTCCTTGGTTAGGGCTGAAATGATGCAATAGAACAGTGTGAGAGCTGTGTATATCAGTAGGTTTGTGTCTGAGATGACAAGGAGCTTGTGTGGGTGCACATCCAAAGCATTCAAGGCTCAGTCCTATGAACTGCTGTGCTCCTTCTATGAAAACATGGGCACAGGGTATTTACAAGCCAAAAACAGACAAGTGGAAGTCTGCCAGTTTAAAAACCACAATAATGGCACACTGAATTGGCCTGCAATGGTAAAATAGAGCAAGAAAATACAGGTTGGTGTGTAGAACATATGAATGTTTTCAAGACAGTGTGTCTTTGAGCATTCTTAAGCAGTGTGGCTTAAGGACTTGTTTTGCAGCATTGGTTATGGTGGTGGTGCTGAGAGTTAACAGCAGTATGGCAGCAGTGTCAGGAAGATCAGGAAATAGGTCAGGATACAGTTATCAAGATATATGTGCTCCTAGTGAGGCTTGCTTCTCTTTCCAAATTAAACTGGTATTGCAAATTGTGATTTATTGGAGATTTAGAAAAACATGTGCTGAGGGAATCATGCTGTTTCTGCAATTAAGCTTTAATAAATAATAATAATAATGAGGCCTTAGTTGTGAGCCAAGAAAAATCTCTGGAATACAGACTTCTACTCTGTCATCAGGCAAAAGAAATAGAATCAAATTCCAGAAAACAAACATAAATTTTTCTGAAGTGAGGAGACAGTAAGGAAAATAATACTGAGTTAAGCAAAAGGTTGAACTCTCCTTGTTGCATGTATTTGCAGACTTCTGAGATGAACGTGACTGAATTTTTCCACAAATCGTTATTCAGAACATCAAATGGTCTAGCTGTTTTTGTCAAGCACTCTTTACATGAAAGCAACACCCACATTTTAAAAATAACTATAATTACAAGAGAAATTACATTTATCGCAGTAAAAGTCAGGTCTCCTTTGGGATGGACTTGGAGTAATGGATGGCTAGAGCTTCTAATTTATCTGTGTCGTGCAGCATTAGAAAAGCAAATTCAACATATTTACACATGAAGATCTGTGGTCATTTTTTAGAGGGCTGACATGATCATACATCAAAGAGACTTGACCTTTGGAGCTCGCTGCCTATCTATCAGTGGGAACCCATGCTTTCTTGCCGTTCATTTCCTTTGGAGAGCATGGATGGGAATGTGGCATGAAAAGTAAAAGTGGAACACAATGGGGAAATATAAAAATACCAGCAATATGAACCAATTATTTTTATTTAGAGGTATTCTTCCCCCCTCTCCTGCTTACTTTGATAATATACTTGATAAAGAGTAATGAGTCTGAGTGCAGAACTGAAAACATCAATTCTCTCTCTCCTAACTGGAGGTCAGGAAATGAATTCAATCCATGTGTTTGGTTTGAATTCCCTTCATCCCTGTGATCAAATAGATCTTCCTTCTCATAAAATGCAGTAGGTGGCTATTTATGCCCTAGTGATCTGTTACTCCTTCCATTGGCCACTGTGAGAGGAGTGCTTAGCTGTGAAGACTTGTGAGAAACTGTTATGGGATTTGATAGGAAATGATCCCTTGTTTTGCAGAAGGTATATTGTCTAATATATATTTTCAGTACGTTCCAAACATTCCTCATTTAGTCTATGCCACTTAAAATCTTTGTCTTAAAGAGAGTCAGAATCAGCAGTCAAGCTCTGGTTACCTAAGCTGGCCACGTTTACTGTTAATGACTAGCAGATACGAAAGGCAATAATCCATAACAGTGTATCTGTATTTAACTTGGTGAAACTCAGATAAATGCACATGCTACTTCCTACGGATAAGATTTCATGGTCATTCTTAACTGATGACATGTGTTTGGCAGATGTCTGCTGCAGGTACAACTAGCTTTCACAAGAGCCATAACCTACCGAAGTGTAATCCCATTGCTGGCTAAGGAAATCTTTCAAACTCTCTGGGAGAAGCAGAAAGCGTATTTTCATTGAAAATTAAATCATTGTTTTTCAAATGATCATTTAAGAGCTATAATAAATAAACCAAAGGAAAAGCAAAGATGGATCCTCTGTGAGGCAGGTGCTCAGAAGCAGCTTCACGAGGACTTGAAGGAAGGGTGATGGTGGGAGGAGATGTGCGTTCTGGGTTGGGGGAGATTCCTCTCTCCATCTTCCTTGTCAGTAGGGTCACTTTCATTTCATTTTCACCCTATGCAATCTACCTGACCACAGACTTCCCTATACTTCTGCAATATTTAGGTTCTCTGTTTCTACACTGACATTGCAATGTGGTAATTCTAATGTCCCTTTCCCTTCTCTTGCCATACGCACACACTAGGTTGCAAAAGGTTGTGAGAAGACACTGCTCTTTTAATTCTTCAATTGTCTTGGCCCTCTGAATTAAAAAATGATAATAGAATTCCCTTTCTCTGTCATGCCTGCATCACATTCCTGAGGCAAACTCTAAACTGTCCCCTTCTGCCATGTGCGCTGCACTGTGTACACAAAGCACAAGAGCTTAAGACAAATTGAGGTGCTTCTGTGCCATCTATCATTTCTGTTTAGTTCTGCATTCCTTAGAGACTCCTTTTAAGAAGGGAAGACTCTTAGAAATTAATTTCTTGTCTTCTGTTAAATTAGGAAAGTCTGAAGAACAAACAGGCTATGGTACTTTATGTTCTCTAGACAGCACCACTTACCATCCCCAGAAATATCATTTCCTCTTCTCTCATTTTCTCTGTTTTCTTGCGCTGGATATATCCTCGCCAAACCTGAATTGTAAACAAAACTCTAATGAGATAAATGGGCCTTGTTACAGCTTCCTTTGCTGTGGCAGACAGAGGAAAAAACAAATAGAGGAAGGAAGGGCACAATATACAATTGAAACTATTACTCTTTAACAGGTTAGCAGCTGCTATGTTCTTTAAAAAAGAAATTCTGAAGTTTGTTATCCTCTCGCACTGGCAGACCTATCTTCTAGCACAACAACATCAGGGTTCAGAAAGTGTTTAAGGATTTAGAGTGAATTCCTGTTCTCATCAGGCTGAATTATTCCAAATTACTCATGCATAAGGAATTTTTCTGGAATTTAGCATTCTCATTTTTCTCAAGATATGAAATGAACTCTTTCCCCAGGGACCCCAGGAAAAGGCACTGCATTTCAAGGTGATGCCAGAAAGAGCAATTGAGGTCATAAAAATCAGAGCAGAAAAACAACATGTAGGTTATAGAGTCATCCTGCACCGCCGGAGCAGGGCTGTTTCCATTGATCTCACCTCTAGGGTTATGGCTCATTTTTTTAAGTGGCTTAAATGATGTATTTCACCTTGCTAAACACCCTGAGAGCAATCCATTCAGAGTGTTTCCCACCCCATGAGCTGTGTTGCTCTCTCTACCGCTGTTCTTCTGAATAAAACATATTGTCCCTTGCTCTCAGCAGAACTCTCGTTACATCAAAGCTCTCACCTTTTGAATGCAGGTGGCGGCGTCATCTGGATTTGGACCAGCCTGTTCCTGAAGTTTTGTATGTCTTTTTCTCTTCTGTTCAAGGTAGATTTGCTTCATGAATAATGCTCGACGCCGGCCTTGGCGAGCCCGCTCTGCCACCTGGATCATTTTAATGGCTTCTTCAAATGTCATGGCCTTGACAGGTTTCTTCAGCAGCGCAGCCAAAGAGGAAAGGACAAAGCAGAGCGGTTTTGTTAACTGCCTACCTCAGTTAGCAGATGAGACAGGGAATTAACCTTTAGTGGAAACCTTCTAAGACAAAACATCTCTGCTACAAACAGCAGAGACTCTTCTTGCAGGGCCATCATGCGGTATTTTTGAAATTTGCTACCTCCAGAGACAATTTTTGAGGAGAAAGTGAGCCTGACACACTGCTGTCGTTTCTGTGGCATCCCAGGTAGGTAGGTGGCGAGACTGGACATAGCAGAATGAATGGGTGGAAGATGGAGAGAAAAGAGATGCTAAAACTCTGGGGCACACCTCTGAGCAGCAAGGAACTCCTGATCCTACAGTGGGAAACACAAATGGTTTATGGTTTATGCTACCTGCTAAGCATTACCCATTTGGGAAAAAAGGCATGAAGAACCATAGAGCTTTCTCCCACTAAAAGAAAAACTCCTTGGGCTGTGCAATGTCTTTTTTTTTTATTATTTTATTTTTCCTTTCTGTAGGGATGGGTTCCTGGATGGGCTGCTGGATCTTCAGCTCTTTTGCTGAGTGAAACAACAGGCTGATTTGAGCTAGCCAGACCTGGTCAGAAGGTCTGACTTAGGGAAAAAAGCATGTCAGAACAGGGCAGCTGGAGAGAACTCCTCCTTCCCACTTCTGAGAACTCATCAGTGCCTCGTGTTCCCCATGGAAAGGCTGAATTACTGTCCTTTCCTGACATTAATCCCCCTATTGGAGACAGTTCACATTCAGTGTTTCTACATATATTGTGTGGAGCTCACTATACAACATTTTCAGCAGGGCTTTCTACAATGGAAATACACAGGAGAACGAATGGTCTGTGCAGCAGATTCCTTTAATAAGCCCATGTCCTCTGATAAAACTCCAGAGTTTTGTGTGTACTCTCAGCTGTTTGTAACAGTGCTGTCATGGACACTCAGCAGCACAGTGCTCTGCTGCACAGCAGTCAGGATTTCCTGAGTGTACATGGCTTGCTATGATGCATACAGAGGTGCTGATAACCCTCCAGCAATCGCAGCAGTGGTGGAACTGGAGTATAGCACAAGGCATGGGATTCACAGTGGGTTCATATGAGATTGTTTTCTTCATGTTTATTGAATCTTGTTGTGACATCCTGGCAAAGGGAACCTGGACCCTGCCAGAGCTTGGTGTTTGCAGGTGAGCTGGCTGCACGCTGGAAAGGCTCACCTGCTCATGGCTGCCATGCTGAAAAGGAATGAGAACAGAACTGTGGGAAACAAAAAGACTCCAAGAAGTAACAGAGGATTTCCACAGACTGACATCAGACCATTACAGAATTTACCCATAAATTTACTGTGGAGGCCAGCGGGGCTGCAGCTGCCCATCAAAGTAATCTGCAGACTGCTTCTTTCTGTGCCTGGGAACCCTCCCTCGGTCGCTCTGTGGGATCAATGCTACCACATACCCAGCAGGGAAGCAGACTTCCCCCAGCAGCACAATTACTGCGGAGGATTCGGTGGCTGTGGGTCTGATCAGGACTGTCTCTTATGGCTGCAGCATCTACAAACCTCACTCTGCAGACACAGCAGCCCAGTTGTTTATTTCAGGAGGTGAGAGGGCTGCTTGCGGGCAGCGGGCCATTTCCAAGAGGTCAGAAGTATATCAAATCCAGAACAGTCTTCACCAGAGCACTCATGTACTTCTCCATAATGACTTCTGCTCTGCCAAAACCCAATTTTCTACTCCTCCTAGCAGCTGCAGCTCGATGGCTGTACAGAAGAGACTGCAGCCATTGTTTGGAGGTTATAAACAACTGAATGCTGCTGTGCTGACCTGAACTCTGAGTTTTGCCCATTCCAGCCAGAAACCCTGGCTCAGTAAAACTGAAGCTCACCTTGATTTCAGTAGGACTGATTATGTGAGGAGAGTTAGCTGGGTAAATAAAGCAGCTTCTAAGCTTGAGCCAAGTGCTGCCCTTTCTCTGACACTCGCACACACGGAGTCAATTCATTTCTGCAGTCTTAGGCTTGAGATGTGACTGGGTATTGTTAGGCAGAAAAACTCAACGCTACTTTCTGTTTGAGCCTCATCTGCAAATGGACTTAACTACCATAAAAATACTTCTTACTTTAGTGGCTCACGCTCAGGCATGCATGGCTATAAGCTACAAAATTAAGCATGTTATTGTGTAGGTACATGGCATGCTTACCTGTGTTGCCAATCCGGCATTCAACAAAATCTCATCCAGAGTTTTCTCTCTCTGCTGCAAGCCTTCCAGATTCTCCTTAATAAAATACTTTGGGATAGGTATTTCTGTGTCTTCCTATAGGAAAAAATAGTTGTGAGGTGCTTTTTAAAACTGCGTGAAAATCATATTACTTATTAGCTGCACACCTTTACAAAGCAATTAAATTGCAGAGAGATTATTGAATTTTTTTGGAGTGTTAGGGAACCTGACCTCTGTTACAGCTGCCGAGCTGTTACTTTGCAATTACTTAAGGCCTAATTCAACAACAACAAATAAATCAGCCCAGTTTCTGAACCATAGCAGACCAGAAATCTTTCTTTCTATAATGGCTCAATTATATTATGAAACTGTTAAAACATTTGGCAGGGCTGCCAGTAATTTAAACATGATTTCTGTGGAATTGAATACCTCTGGTTGTGTGATCATCCCACTTCTTTTTCTAATCAGCATGAAAAATAGATCAGTTCTCCTGCATTTTTTGGAACCCTTACAAGGAACCAAAGCATATAATTCAGTTTGCCTTCAGGTATTTTTACACTGCCAATGACTGGGATATCTCAGTTACTACTTGCAATCAGGCCTGATTAGAAGAGGTTGTCTTTATTCATTTCCATCATTGAGAGGATGTAAACAATTCACATTTCTACCAACTCTTCTCCTACAGAATGTCACTCTTGAGATTTGGAATAAGACATGGGCAGGCAGACAGAAATGCCCCAAAAGTGAAGACGCTGCAGTGGCATAACCTGTTGTTTGTATTGTATTGAATCATAGAATGGCCTGGCTTGAAAAGAACCTCCAAGATCGTCTAGTTTCAACCCCCTGCTGTGTTGCAGGGTCGCCAACAACCAGACCAGGCTGCTCAGAGCAAGTGGTTTGTCTGGATGACCTTGCATATGATGAGTCAGTGCAGGGATGAGGAGCTGCTCAGCTAGCTAACCTGGGCTTTAATCACCAGAAATTCTGGGCTGTGACTTTTACTGAATGCAAAGATGAAATCCAAGCCATAATACCGAGACAGGCAGGAGTGGGGAGCACACGGACAGCTTCTCTTCATAATCTCTTTTTGAGGCCCAACACTGAAAGATCAGATTTAAGATGTTTATCCTCACGTCAAATTTGCAGCCTTTTAGGCAAGACCCAGCTCCGTATGGGATGTGTGTATCCAAATCCCTTTATAATTACCCTAGTAAATGGAGTCACTGAATGCTGGAAGGCAATTGTACAAAAATCAGAGGAAGATGAAACTTGGCCCTGCCTCTCCTTAGCAATATAGCAAAAAGGAGAGGAAACATGGTACAAAACTTCTTCAGCTCTTTTTATTTTATTTTTCCTTTTATTTTTGTAGTAGCTAGGCACTTCATGCCTTCCTAAAACAAAGGTGTGGCACAGGGATTTGAATTCGTGCTTGGCTTTTACTAGATGTCAAGCATTGCTTTTCAGGCTTGCCAACTCTCCCCTGCAGGTGGATTTACTGATAAGTCATGAAAAGAGCAACCCTTAATGATTTCAGAATACCACTTGAAGGATCAGTTCCCCCACAGGTGTGTTTATACTCTCCAGCATGCCTTCTCATAGCTCAAAATAATGCTCTGCTGTGCTTAAAAGTGAAGGGATGGTTGAAATTCTTGGCAATTGCTAGCCTAAGTTTGCAGCGTGAACTACGCATGCAATTTCAGCCAATACTATGGCTGCATATCTCAGATTAATGCTGCATAGGAGGCAATTTATCTCAAGTTATAGCTGAAATCCAGAAAGCAGCCGTACTTGAAGCTTCAATTATTTAAGAGCTGTTATCAGTGGTACCTAAACGTGACAATAGGTGGAGCTGTCTGCGAGAGAAGTAACTAGCTGTTAACAGCTCATTTCTCACGCTGCTTTTACAGCACAACCTCAAGATTTTGCCTTATAATCAAGGCAGACTTACCGGGAGAAGCTTTAGATCTTCAATGATATTATCAGTGTAATGAAACTCCGAGTTCTCCAGCTCCACCATCTCTTTCTTCACCTCCAGGATCCGGCCAATCACTCCATCCAGCACTTGCCGAATCGCTGCCCGTTTCTGCTGGTGAATGAGGTGGCTGTGGGCCTCCTCCAGGTGATGGAAGATCTGTAGGTACTCGATGTAGGAAGCAGACAGCATCCTGAATACTTTCACACGGTCCTTCTCTGGCTGGAGGAACTGTTCTCTCTCTGTCTGGAGTCGGGTGTCAAGGTCTTTCTGGGCGTTTGTCCATATCTTATTGTAGGTGCTGACAGAAAAGAGGAGACCATCTTAATGAGACATAACAGCTAGCACGCAGGGATGTCAGGACTCCACACGCCTGGTAGTGCAAACCATTATATTTCCAAAGGGAAAGGGCTGTGCTGGTGCCAATGACAGAGTGTATCCGCGTGTGCTATTTCAGAAGTGAAGGATTATTCTTTTCATTGCACTCTAAACAACTGCTGAGCATGTGGTCCAGAGGCTGAAGGGCTATGCGATATGGAAGATGTAGCCTAACACCAGATTTGTTTGCTGAAATGGCTATGCCATTTATCCAAAGACTGCTGCACTTTTGGTGGCAATGGGCTGAGCTCTGATGAATTGGCCATCAGTGGCTTTTCATTCTAAAAGCAGATTGATGCTGAATAAAGAAACAAACCAAAGCAATTACTTGTGTTCAGACACAAGCCCAAACAGCAGGTTTGTCATTTGATGGTGGTAACACCCACGGTAATGAAAGATCCTTTCAGCTGGTCCAGTTCTGCTTCACAAACTCTCTTCTAACAGAGAAAGCTGACTTGTTTCTTACACCTAGAAAGAAGGCTGCTGAGCTCAGTGGTAAAATCTAGACCCATCCACGCACTCAACCTGGCCATTGCTTGCAGCTCTGAGAACCTCTCAGAGTAGCATGAAGACAATAAAACACTCTGCCTTCATTAAGTGAGCTTTCAGGGCAGGTCTCTTGCTGTTCCGAGCAGCACTTGTGTATTCATTCTGACAAGAAAGCTGGGCAGCTGTTAACTTTGCTTGTGCTTGATAAAAAACGCCTGGGAAGGAGCTCTATCAGCTGATCTTATCATTCCCTGTACACTGAAAGTACAGAATGACCCACTTCCATTGCAAGAGAGACCGAGGGGTGGCAGGACAACACTCCAGCCCACAGGCTCATGTGCTCATAACACGGGCGTGCTGCATGGCCAGGATGCTGACAGAGCTGCCAGGACTCACCGGAGCAGCGAGCAAAAACATCAACAATCCCACCTCTGCTATTGAATTTGCTCCATTAACTTTTTCAAGTGCATACTATACTTTTCAGCTGACCTGCATTTATGCAGGATGCAGCTGGTCCTGCTTTTCCTACTGCCTCTGCAGCCCACCCAGTTCTTTCCCCTTCCTTTTTTCCTGCTTCATTTACATCCCTTAGCAGCAAGTGAATCACTCAATTGCAGCAATTAACCCAGGTGTGGGAGATAAACAAAATAAAGCCAGCAGAGTGGTCAAGCTGGCCACAAACAAGTGTACCGTTAGGTTTGACCTCGTGGCTTGGGCTGGTTGGTCAATGGGAGTTTTGTGCTCTGTCTCTGAGGCCAGGAGGGTGTCTGCTGATGAGATTCATTAGCACAGAAGGAAACAACGTGGTATTGTACTCACTTAGCTTTTGCCTACAAGCAGACAACTTGGTAGTGGAAAGGTTATAAGCCTTTGAGGAAGCTTGGCTCTGTAGGCTGTTTGTGCTGCTATGTGGATAACTTATAGTCAGCAGGTATCTACAGGACAGAGCCTTTCTAATGCAGCCTATTGCATGGAGACAACAGGTTTGTACTGAAACAACCGATTCTGCAATTGTCCACTCCAAGTTACAATAACCTCTTTTTGTCCCTCCTCTTAAGCAAAGAATGTTGAGTGGTTCCCCCTGCTGAGCCAGCTAATATCCAGTTTCTTTTTCTGTTTTGAATGACTTCTTGATGGAGGTGGGGGGAAGAGAGCCTTAGCCCTTCAGAGTATGCTAATGTAAGGCAATACAAATAGGACATAATTGTTTCCATAAAGCATCTGCTTATCAGATAAGCATGAAGATGGCCGCAAGCACGTTGCTACGAGCCTTCATGGTAAAACTATGGGTGTTACGTTTGCAGGCTTCATCAGTGCTGATGTTCTGAGAAAACGTGGGCGAAAGAAGAGCCAGACTGAAACGAAGCATAGAAGGATAGATGCAGAACTGCTAGATCTTCAGCTGTGGTAAGTGGGCAGTGCTGTCAGGGTGAGTTATACCCCTGGAGGGTCTGGCCCCGCAGCCCCTGTGTGGTTAGCTAGGTGTCTGGGAACAGCACGTGCTCCATAGCTGGCTGCTGCCAGCAGAAATGCGCCTCGAGTGTCTCTTTGGATCACCCTGATTAGAAACCAGAGGGCACACATACAGCCGTTTGTTTCTCCTCTTCAAAGCAGGATTAAAGTAATTACTTCAGGTTTTGCTAGTGACTGAAAAGAAGCCTTTCTGGGCTAGTTTGAAGGATCAGATATGCGTGGTGTTTATAGCTTTTCTTTTTGGAGGACTTGGCTCTTCAGGAGCAGCTTAATTTTGGAGTGACTGAAGGGAGTGCGTGTGTGCAACTTGCATCCTCAAGATGATGCATTTAAAGCAAAGGACAGGCCTGACTTTTCTTGTCTCTTTATCAGACAGCATGTGATCCTGAAATCCCTGTTTGAATCTTTCCCTCTCTGCTCAGTCTCCTTCTGCATTAAGTTGTAAACTCCCTCAAATTGCTTCCACATGCTGAGTTGGGGATACAACACAGCCTTGGGTGCACTGGCTTTTTATTTAGTGTTAGTGGTTCACCTTGTAGGTTTGCTAGGTTGTGAGCTATATGTGTGCAGTGGGATGATACTGCACCAAAGATGGATTAGAGCATCTAACTAGCCCACTAGTACAGGTAATCAGCAGGACTGAATGTAGTTTTCCTACTCAAGGCCTGAGTTTATTAAAACCCAGAGAAGAAGTCTGTCTCTTGATCTCTGCATACAGTCTGTGTATAGCAAAGTAAAGCTGCAAATTGTCATAGCAACTACAAAATAAGAGTGCTGTGGGGGGAAATAAGGAACGTTGTAATGGGATGAGGAAAAAGCACATTAAGTGACTTAACTCCAGAGCCCCCAGAGCACTTTTCTGGCAGCTTACAGCATGGAGTGAAGGTCAGGCCTTTCCTCCCAGCCAGCATCCCTTCTCTTTGC